ACTATTGAAATTCTGTGCGATTTATTTACATCTTGTAGACATCTCATTTCAGATCAAACTACTTTCTTTTTTTTTTGTATATAATGAACATAGTTTTTTATTATTATTACTTTGGCAATATTATCGGGGTACAGATTTTAAGGTTTCAATAAATCCGCATTTCCCCCCTTCCCCCCAAAAGTCTGGATTCTCCATCATGGACTCATCCCCAGATGGGCACATCTCACGTATTATGTATATACCCACCCACCTTCACCTCCACTCTCCCAATATCCTATTACTGTAGTACCTATGTGACCACTTAGGTGAGACTAGCTACTTTTCAAGTGCTTGATAGAGACATGTTAATGGTTATGTATTGGACAGCACAACTCTTAGACATTCAGGAACTGCTTTACTCCCCAAGAGGCAGTTCCAGCACAGAGTGAGATCTGCCAGGCAGTCTGTTTGATGGAAAGTACAGTGGACAGGGGCTCAGGAGACTGGCTCCTTGCCTGGGCTCAGCCAGCTTCTCACAGGTGTGACCTTTCTGGACCTTGGTTTCTTCATCTGCAGAATGAAAATTTGGATTAGGTACTGTCTTCGAGGCAGTTCTCTGCCCTGGGCCAGGTGGCATCTCTTTTACCCCTAAGGAGTGGGAGAGGCCCTTCAGGTATTCTGGGGTAACTTTGCTGTGGGCAGTGCTATCAGGTGACGGTCATGCCTCACTTAGGATATAGGAGGCCCAGCTGTTTAGATGTCCTTTGAGAGTTCCTTTCCAAAAAGAACAGAGTTGTTCTTCAGGCTAACCAGTGGTTTTATATACGAAGAAAAATAGCCTGTGTGAAATGGAAGTAGGTATTGTGCTCTTAGCTATGGAGTCTGCAGACCACATGAGCAAGGATCAAAAAATGAAAATCATAGTATTAACTTCTCTTTCTCTGAGTGACTGACTCAGCATGAGTCTATGTTTTTAGGCTTGGTTTTTTTAGTTCATTTTTTATTAAGGAGCAAGACCATTACAATGCATAGTATCTGTTACACAGTTTGCCATATTCTGCATTTTGTGGATGTGAAAGAGTTTTTATAGCAGTGTCCACAGATTAAGTTAACGTTACTTCTTTGATAAGTGTCCAGATGTCTAATGGTCACTTAAAATCAGATGTAAAGGCCAGGCATCATGCCTGTAATCCTAGCACTCTGGGAGGCCGAGGTGGGTGGATCGTTTGAGCTCAGGAGTTCAAGGCCAGCCTGACCAAGAGTGAGACCCCGTTTCTACTAAAAAAAAAAATAGAAGAATTAGCTGGGCATGTGACGCGCCTGTAGTCCAGCTACTTGGAAGGCTGAGGCAGAGGATCGTTGAGTCAAAGTTTGAGGTTGCTGTGAGCTAGGTTGACGCCACGTCACTCTGTAGCCGGCAATAGTGAGACTCTCTCAAAAAAAAAAAAAAAAATCACATGTAAAGTTAGTTTTCACCAAATGGTAATGCAAGTGTAGAAACCTTGATTTTTAGTATCAAGTTAGAGATTAATGTTGGTACTTACATTCCCTGTAAGTTTTCTAAACATTTCCATTATAGAGAATCTCCTGCCTGAATTTAATGAATTTCTTTATTTGAATTTAATGGACTCCTTCAAAAATACAAGAAGGACCAAAAGAGAGGCTTAGAGTTCTCTTGCTTCACAGAAAATCTAGTGGTATAACCATTTATTTATTTTATATTTTTTAGTTTTCTTGTTTATCTGACAAGTTTGGCAGTTTGAGGTAGTTAGGTTTTATATGCGTTCTGAGGTAGTGTCATCTTTGTAGATCTATAGCTTGGTGTCTTCTCTCTTACCTTCGTTTCCTGTTAGTATATGATTGTTGTATATGTATGTCTGTCCAAAACCATGTCATCTCTTTGAATTCTTAATGTAGTAAATTCAGGTATCAAAGTCTGATGTATAGCTCACGATGGTGATTCTCTTATGATAAGCTCTCAGAGTGGTTAAAGGATTACTTTAATGTAGATCTTTAGAAGAAGGTGATAAATAGTTAAATTCTAGTTTTTCTCTTTGCAAAGACCTCCAACCAGACCTTTCGGAAATAATAACCTTTTGGTTCAAACATGGAGAAGATCCTATTTGTCTCTCTGATGAGGTAGAAGGTTGTGGGATTATAGTACCTAAGAATATGTAAGTTGGAAGCAAACTCTAGCATTGATAATTTAACTTGAATTGTGTTCTACTCTCTTAATATTCTCTGTGTATTTTTATTGACATGGAGTATCCCATACAAGAGTCATAGAGATTAGTTTGGAAAAAAAAGCCTTGGCAGAGGCTTGAGTCTTAGCTGCACCTGTTAAGTAGGCAAAAGTGGCATCATCTGTAAGTACAGTAATGGCAGCGGGCAGGGACATGACTGCGAGATCACCAGAGTTGCAGACGCTCTTAATGGTATTCGACTATTACGTCACTAGTTTCTATCATGGCAAGGTACATAATGTAGGTACGATTTGCCATTTAGTTCGACTTTGTAAGCAATAGTTCACGAAGAGAGCTAGTTATATATAGTATGCAGTGCATGGATGTGGTACTTGAAGATAAATCACTAAAATCCCCCAATTTTTCCCAAGGCGGTGGTCGGTTACAGAAGAGCTGTATACCAATCACCGGAACATTGTCTGCGTGTCTTGCATCATTTCTTCTGTGGTAGCATAGGCAGCACCCTGTCAATCCAAAACCTTCTGTGAAAGGAGACCTTAGTTTTAGTAATCTTGTATCTCTAGTATCCTAAGATGCCAATTTATATTACATAAAATAGATTATTATAATGGTGGTGTCTGGAGGCTTCTGACCATGATAGATGGATTGTAAGAGAGATGAAAACCTACTAAAAAGAAAAGAAATTGGAAAAGAAATTTTTGATATGGTCATGCACTTTCTTTATACGAAATTTATTCATTATGTTTAATGAGTATTATTACCCATTTACACCCTTTTTTCATTAGTCTGGTAACGTGCCTGTCTTTTGTGGAATTATTGAAGTCAATATCTCATTGCAACACTGTAATGTACAGTTATTTATTCTCTATCACTCTCCACTTTCATATATAACCTAAAGAACTTCTGTGCCCATTAGTATGACTTAACTTTCCTGTGCCATCTCTCCCGCCACTCCGCATCAAATCATTCTGCTTTCTTTGATCATCTTTTGAATTTTTGCCATCTACTCAATGCAATAAGGAACTATACACAGCCTATAAAGTTTGGAATAACTCACATAAATTGATCCCTTGTTGACTGGCTTTGTATATCATATAGCTTAGAAATAAGTTATTGGTCTTCAAAATATGCGTTCCCATGTTTAGCATGTGTCACTTTATATATTCCTTCTTTAAGGCCTAATAAAAATAATTATCTTCACTGTTATTCCTTCTATTTGTCATCATGTGACTCACCCAAGGGGATTGCTAATCACTAGTGGTAAGGCAACTCTCGTACAGATTAGCTCACTGGAACAGGCATGTAATAGTATCTATTGGAGCCTGCTTCATCTTTTGTGAGTATATATTAGAAGTTGAGTGTTCCTCCTCATATGGTAAATTCTGTTTAGTTTTTGAGGAATCACTGTACTGTTTTCCACGAGTAGCTGTACCATTTGTACATTGCCACCAGCATATAACAAGGGTTTCAATTCTCTTGTATCCTGGGCACCACGTTGTGACCTTTTTTTGGCTGTAGAGAAGTTCGTGGGTGCTACTTACAATGACTTCACGCAATGATTCTATAGCGCAGTAACATTTTTGAGAATTGGCTTTCTTTCATGTAGTCAACAATATTTGACATCGCTTAAGGATCATACATAAATAAATTGTTGAAGTCATTTCATCAGAATATGCTACCTCTTCGACTTCGATTGAATGAAAACTCTTTGCATTTAAATGTAAGTATGTTAATATTTATTTTTCATGGGTCATGCCTGTTAGGTAGTAATGGCTTTCTGTATTCGATTTGATCCCAGGTGGAAGTTATAGACAACTGCTTGTTGTTTTAAAAAAAAAAAAAAAATCACATGTAAAGTTAGTTTTCACCAAATGGTAATGCAAGTGTAGAAACCTTGATTTTTAGTATCAAGTTAGAGATTAATGTTGGTACTTACATTCCCTGTAAGTTTTCTAAACATTTCCATTATAGAGAATCTCCTGCTGAATTTAATGAATTTCTTTATTGAATTTAATGGGACTCCTTCAAAAATACAAGAAGGACCAAAAGAGAGGCTTAGAGTTCTCTTGCTTCCAGAAAATCTAGTGGATAACCATTTATTTTATTTTATTTTTTAGTTTTCTTGTTTATCCTGACAAGTTTGGCAGTTTGAGGGTAGTTAGGATTTTATCATGCGTTCTGAGGTAGTTCATCTTTGTAGATCATAGCTTGTGTCTTCTCTCTTACCCTTGTTTCCTGTTAGTATATGATTGTTGTATATGTATGTCTGTCCAAAACCATGTCATCTTTTGAATTCTTAATGTAGTAAATTCAGGTATCAAAGTCTGATGTATAGCTCACATGGGTGATTTCTCTTATGATAAGCTCTCAGAGTGGTTAAAGGATTACTTTAAATGTAGATCTTTAGAAGAAGGTGATAAATAGTTAAATTCTAGTTTTCTTCTTTGAACACTGAGAAGAATGTTTAGGTAGAATTGTGGATTTAAAATACTAAAATATACGTTCTGCATTGAAATAATTTGGAAGTTTTATTTAATTTCTGTATTTTGATATACAGAGTCATAGAAAGTTGAAAATGCAGAGAGGTTTGTGCACCCGTGACTCAGTGGCAGTTCTGTAGTACAGTATGGCAGGGCAGTGACATGGGTACGGTCTGCAGAGTTTATTCACATTTCGTCAGTTTTACATGCACTCATTTGTGTGCATGTGCTGTATAGATAGCACAAGGCAGTTTTTATCATGTGTGGCTTTGTGTAATCACCACAATCACGGTACAGAACTGTTCCATCACCACAGGCTCTGTCGTGCCACCCTTTTTAGCCTCACCACCCCTTTCCTCCAACCTCTAGGAGCCACTAATCTGTTCTCTATCTCTATTATATTATTTAATGATGTTATATAAATGGAATCATGTGGTATATGACTTTTTTAAACGGAATTTTTCAAGTTGTAAAGTATAACATTTACCATTTTAACCATTTTTAAGGGCACAGTTTAGTGACATTAAGTATACTCAGACACTGTTGTACAGTTATTACCTCTATCCATCTCCAGAACTTTTTCATCTTCCCTAACTGAAACTCTGTGCCCTTTAGAGACTAACTTCCTGTGCCCCTCCTCCAGCCCCTAGCAGTCATCATTCTGCTTTCTGTCTCTCTGAATTTGACTACCATAGGAACCTCATATAAGTGGAATCATACAAAATTTGTCCCTTTGTGACTGGCTTATTTCACTTAGCATAGTATCTTCAAAGTTCTTCCATGTTGTAGCATGTGTCAAATTTTCTTCCTTTTTAAGGCTAAATAATGTCTACTGTATCCATTCATCCATCCATGTACAAGTGGCTTGCTTCCACCTGTTGGCAATTGTAAGCAATGCTACTGTGAACATGCATGTATAGTATCTATTGGAGTCCCTGCTTTCAGTTCTTTTGAGTATATATTCAGAAGTTGAGTTTCCTCCTCATATGGTAATTCTGTTTAGTTTTTTGAGGAATCACTGTACTGTTTTCCACAGTAGCTGTACCATTTTACATTGCCACCAGCATTACACAAGGGTTTCAATTTCTCTATATCCTTGGTAACACTTTATTTTTGCTGTAGGAAATACATGCTTCAGCACTTGTTTTCTTTGTAACTTTTTGAGATTGGCTTTCTTTCACTTAGCACAATTCTCCTAAGATACAAACAAATTGTTGCATGTATCAGTAGTTCATTTTTATTGCTGAGTAGTAATCCTTTCTGTAGATGTGGATGTACAACAGCTTGTTTAACTATTCACCTACTGTAGGACATTTGGGTTCTTCTCGGTTTTGGGCTATTATGAATAAAACTGCTGTGAGCATTAGTATATAGGTTTTTCTGTAAACATAGGTTTTCATTTTTCTGGGATCAGTGCCTAAGAATACAGTTATGGTATGTGCATGTTTAGTTTTATAAGAAACTGTCAAACTGTTTTCCTGTGTGGCTGTATCATTTTATATACCCCATTTGTTTATTTTATTTCTTTATTTATTTTGAGACAGAGTCTCACTTTGTTGCCCAGGCTAGAGTGAGTGCCGTGGCGTCAGCCTAGCTCACAGCAACCTCAATCTCCTGGGCTCAAGCTATCCAACTGCATCAGCCTCTGGAGTAGCTGGGACTATAGGCATGTGCCACCATGCCTGGCTAATTTTTTTTTTTGTATATATATTTTTAGTTGGGCAATTAATTTCTTTCTATTTTTAGTAGAGACTGGGTCTCCATCAGGGTGGTTTCGAACTCCTGACCTTGAGCAATTCGCCTGCCTCGGCCTTCCAGAATGCTAGGATTACAGGCGTGAACCACTACGCCCGGCCTTGTTTATTTTTTAACATTGAACTTTTACAGATGACTCAGGCTTTTTTCCTCTTCCATTCTGCATGTTCAGAGTTAGGAAACAAAGTGAAATAAATTGTTAGATATTCTGAATTGATTTTTTAAAGCAAGTTCTAGGGAGCATAGATCATCATTAATTATGAGTCTTCTGGCTAAAAATTGTGATGGCTTAAGAAAATCTAAACCAATGCTATTATTAAATGTCATTTAGCATTTCAAAACTGCTATCCAATACAGTAACCTCTAGCCAGACGTGGATATTTAAAGTTAATTAAAATTAAATAAAACTAAGATTTCAGTTCATTTACTAGCTACATTTGAAGTGCCCAGTGAGTCACCTGGGCTACCATATTAGCAGAGATGTAGAGCATTAACAGCATCACAGAGAGTTCTCTTGGATCGTGCTGTTTTAGAATATGTCTCATTTCCATTTTAATTGCCCCGATGGCATTGAAAATCATCAGATTTCTCCACCTTGTCTGCCTGTTTTTCCTGAGAACCTGGCTAATTACAGGAGAGTCCCTAAATGCACTGAATGCTCTGGGAGGCTTGCGTGGCTCTGGGTGCCCACTGCGGCACCTGGCGTGGTAGGCTGACTGAGTGGCGATGGTGGTTTTATTTGCTAATTAGATGAACTAAGAGTTTTGTCGTTGTCTAGATGAGGATGACGATGAACCAGAAGAGGACGACCAGGAAATAAAAGATAAGACTCTGCCCCGATGGCAGATCTGGCTTGCTGTGGAGCGCTCCCGAGACCAGAGGCACTGGCGGCCCTGGCGCCCTGATAAAACCAAGAAGCAAACTGAGGAAGACTGTGAGGATCCTGAGAGACAGGCACGTATCCTCCACCCTAGGAGGGAGGCTGACCGGGGGCCTTTCTTTGCCTTTCCATTCTCCTGGGCCCTGGTTGTCTGAAAGGAAGTTGCTGGGGCTCTCTTGGTTGGCTTAGGCGATGGGAGTCTGCTCCCATTCACATCTATGAAAACTTCCCTCCTGCCAAATATCAGGATAGAATTTCGTTGGCTGCTGGTGATGGGGGAACATGCAGGCCCTTGACCAGATCGTTCTTGTCCCCTAGCAGGTGGTAGTGGATAGGCTCTCATGGTCACCTCTCTGGAGATTGTCCTCTGGTTATTCAGTTAATTTCTCACATGGAACCCTGTAGGCTCAAGTTAAAAAAAAAAACTTAAAATCATTGTCCTAGATTTTGTGTGTCCACTTTCCCCACCTCACTCTTGGATCCATGAAGATGTAGCAGATAGATTTGACTCTGGAAGACAAGAGGGACTGACTGTAGAGTCCATACTGGGACAGTCGGCATGCAGCGAGTCTTGCTGAGGGAAACCTAACGTTTATTGGACACTCATTGAGTGCCAGGCACTTCACTTGTGTTATCTTGTTTACTGTCACATGATTTGGTACATGCTGCTCTTTGTTTAGTGACCACCAGCTCTGGAGGTTTTAAATTAAAATGAAGAAATGCTGTTTTGATACCCAGAATTGACCTGGTTTCACAAAATACCAACCCTATTGCTGGAGCTCTGTGACTCTTCCTACAAGTTAGGTTCCTTGAAGGCAGGGAGTTTTGCCTCTTTTGTTCACTGCTGTGTCACCAGTGCCTAGAGTAGCACTTGTCCTGTGGTGAGCACTCAGTTAATGTTCTTAGACATTGAAGTAATTATTTGTTGCTGGAGCATCTGCTCTGGGCAGAGGGATCGGCACGAGGGAAGGCCCCAGAGTGCCAGGCAGGTGGGGTGAACAGACTGGAATTCAGACGCAGAGAAGTGGGGGAAAGAGATAGAGGTCAAGGTGATCTCTGGGCAGGAAGGAGGGGCCGACTCCCAGGGAACCGCAGCTCACTGGAATGCTTGGGGAGGTGACTCTGCCTTGCTGAAGTGGAATGTTTACGGAAGAACAGGATTTTTCTTTGGTGTTTGAAGATTTTATGGAGTTCACAGCCACCCTTTGGAAGTTGGTTTTCAAGGCTGAGAACTGTAGCAGTCCCCTGGAAGCTGATTTCTGGAGCAGACTGCCGCTGTGAGCAATTTTGTGCCATTTAGCTTTTTCTCTAATCAAAGCCTGCAGAAGAAAAGCTTTCTGATTTTTTTTTTTAAAACATAAAGAAGCAGCTTTCTGATTAATTGGTTTAGATTAGTTGAGTCCCAGGTAGTCTAGACTTATCGTGCTTATGTTTTGATTTCTACTTTTCTGAGAGCCACAAAAACCAATCAGATAAGCAGCACCTTGAGACAAAGGGGAGTCTCCTTGGCCTTGCATTTTTAAATTAGTGCCTGAAAGCAGCTGGGAACCTGCACAGTTAGTATTAGGCTCTTGTAATTGCTCTTCACATGCTCCATTGCTCCTGAGGTTTACTTCTTAACTTGCTCTTGTTTATCTATTTTTGAGCATATTTTTCATTTCCTGAAGCAATTTTGTACAAAGAAACCACAATAGTAGAGTTCTTATCTTCCATCTTAAAATAAAAAATTTTCACAGTTGTAGTTTATCAAAGTAACTACAAAAGCAATTTAGGTGTACTTTCAGAAATGAACATCTTTCTAGGTTTTCTGTGAATCCATTAGGATACTTTGACAGCTTCTAGCTTAAGCGTGTTCATGTTTTCCCTCCTTCCTGGTTTTCCCCGTGTGTGAAGATGTTAATGGCCACACAGGGCTGCTGAAGTTACTCACCAGAGGTTTGGGTTGCCTTCTGAGGCCTCTGGCTTTTTTTGCTAAAAGAAAACTTAGCTCCTGTCTACTTAGAATTTCTTTTAATTTGAATAATGTTAAATCGTTAGTACATCCATATAAAAATAATAGTGAAAAATTGTGAAGACTTTTGTTTCATTAAATGGATTACTTTGTCTTTGTCACAGGTGTTGTTTGATGATATTGGACAATCTTTGATTAAACTTTCCAGCCAAGATCTTCAGTTCCGACTGATTGAGGCCTTTCTGCAGTTCTTGGGTGTGCCTTCTGGCTTCATCCCTCCAGCCTCCTGCCTTCACCTGGCCATGGATGAGAACAGCATTTTTGACAATGGACTTTATGATGAAAAGCCCTTGACTTTTTTCAATCCTCCATTTTCTGGGGTCAGCTGTGTTGGCCGCATGGACAGGTTGGGCTGTCCTCGCTGGACCAGGGGCCATGACCGAGAGGGCGAGGAGTTCATCCGCAACGTCTTCCACCTCGTGATGCCTTTGTTTTCAGGCAAGGAAAAGTCTCGGCTCTGTTCCTCCTGGTTACAATACGAGATTACAAAGGTAACTCCAGCCTCTTCCTCACCATGTTTGGGGACTTTTATTTCACGTCAGTTTTGTAAATGGGATTGCAAGGCTCTGAATGCTCTTCTGGGAACTGTGCCACAGCACCTCCTCCCCTCAGTGGCCCCTGAAGGCCCTCGTGTGTGGTTGTCCTGAGGCTGTCCTGAGGCGCTGCCGCCAGAGAAGGGAAGGCAGGAGCAAGTCCAGCGGCCTCAGCGACTCTGCAGCTGTTTATTGTGTTGAGTCTTCGGTTAGCAGATGCCTGTCATTATATGAGCAGTTAGTGTCAAGAACAAGCTTAGGCAGGGTTAGAGGATTTAGAGGCTTATTAAAATAGATAAAATAAGCTACTTACTTTCCCTTCTCTCTGCATCTGTTAGAAATTAGTCTGAATTAGCTGTTCTGCCCTCTGCTGGCCACTGGTTAGTATTGTCTCTCTCTCTCTCTCTCTTAATATATTGGGAGGTATGCTAATCTTTTCTGTATTGTTCCAGTTTTAGTATATGTGCTGCCAAAGTGAGCAGAGTATTGTCTTTCGACACAGAGTTCTGAAGCTTTAACTACAGATGACACATACCAGGTTGCATTAAAACAGTGTGATAACATTTTGTGGCCACATCTCTTTGGAGAAGAACATTGGGAGCGTATCAGCCTTGTTTATAGGAATTTCAGATGTAACCCTGGATGTGTTGATTTGGGGGCACTTGTGGCCCTGGTAAAAATCTTCATCTCTTTTACAGCTCGGACAGCGTCAGTATTTACCAAACACATGCTAAAGGAAGTATAGATGCCATTGTACTGTCAACACTTTCTAAAGTTGGCAGTACAAAGCAATTGCTTTAAAATTATGGAGCACTATAGTCACTCTTCTCTTTTTGCCTATAGGTTATTTGGTGGCTGCACACTAAAAACAAGAAGAGATTAAAGTCACAAGGGAAGAATTGCAAAAAACTAGCCAAGAATCTCCTTAAGGAGCCAGAAAACTGCAACAACTTTTGCCTCTGGAAGCAGTATGCCCATCTGGAGTGGTTGCTTGGCAACATAGAGGATGCCAGAAAAGTTTTTGATACAGCACTTAGCATGGCAGGAAGCAAAGAACTGAAAAACCCTGAACTCTGTGAGCTCAGTCTGCTCTATGCCGAACTGGAGGTGGAGCTGTCACCAGACTCAAGAGGGGCCACCACAGCCCGAGCTGTTCATATATTGACAAGGCTGACTGAGAGCAGTCCCTACGGGCCCTACACCGGACAGGTCTTGGCTGTTCACATTTTGAAAGCTCGAAAGGCTTATGAGCACGCACTGCAGGACTTCTTGGGTGAAAGCTCTGTCTCTGATCCAGCTCCCACCGATTCTTTTAACCACCTAATTAGCTTGGTCAAATGCTTTATGCTCTTCCAATATTTGACTGTAGGAATTGATGCTGCTGTGCGGATATATAAGGAGATATTTGCAAAACTGAACAGCTCTGTTTCCCCAGAAGGCTCTGTCCTGGAGGACAGTGCCAGTTCCCAGAGTTTGACCAGTGTTCTTGAAGCCATCACTCTGATGCACACAAGCCTGCTCAGATTGCACATGAAAGTTAGCGTTTATCCTCTGGCTCCTCTACGGGAGGCACTCTCAGAGGCCTTAACATTGTATCCGGGCAACCAGGTTCTTTGGAGGTCCTATGTACAGATTCAAAATAAGTCCCACAGTGCCAGCAAGACCAGACGATTTTTTAATACAATCACCAGGTCCGCCAAACCCCTAGAGCCGTGGTTGTTTGCAATTGAAGCTGAGAAAATGAGGAAAAGACTGGTGGAAGCTGTTCAGAGGTAATCACAGACCATCTTGTTCTGTGTTGCACAAACCTTTATGGCATGCGCGTTGTGTTCCCACCACCTTGCTGGGCCTCAGGAGTGAATACAACACCGTGCCTGGAACACCAGCTGTGACTGCTCCAGGCGATGTAGGGTAACATGTTGAAAAATGAACAAGACATTTAAAAGGAGCAACGTCTTGCATTAGAGGCTTTGGTGGCTGTCTTCTAGGCCATGCTTTTGGGGAGTGGGGGTGTTGCTTCTGGTGTGCATGGGCGGTGCCTGTCAGGCTGTCTGGGTACCTGAGAAGCTGTGATGAAAGCATAATGGCTGGTGGAGTTCACTGCTCTGGATTCCAGGGCCAGCTCTTCCACCACTTGGCTGTGTGACCTTGGGCAAGTCACTTCACCTCTCTAATAGCTCCCTCCTCGGTCAGATGGAAATAAAGAACCTACTCCATAGGGTTGCTCTGAAGGGTCAGTGAGGTAAGTGCTTGGCACAAAGAGAGTGCATAATAATTGGAAGCTTCTGTCAGCATTGCTAGTAATAACAGTGTCATGTTTTTTATATCGTCTTTGGGCCAGGCACAGTGGCTCATGCCTGTAATCCTAGAACTTTAGGAGGCTGAGCAGGAGGATCGCTGGAGCCCAGGAGCTTGAGGCTGCAGTGAGCTGTGATGATGCCACTGCATTCTAGCTCAAGCAACAGAGCAAGACTCTGTCTCAAACAAACAAACAAACAAAACCCAAACCATCTTTGATACAGTATTTTATATCTAAAGGTTAAATGGTAATTGGAGAAACAGATTCCTCCCAGAATCTTTGCTGTTGCTTTACTCTGACCTTATAAATGAGGCAAGATTACCTTTGGATGGATAGTATTTCACTTTACTTGTTCTTTATTTCTTCCATGGGGATTTTATTCACTCTATGTGAGCCTGCCTTCCTGTACTTTAAATTGAAAGGTCTTCCTTCCCATAAAGTAGAATTTGCATTCTGCTGAGTACAGCATAGGTATCTTTAAAAAGTGGAAGCAAGGAATTTGTGTGTGACTTCTAGACAGACTCAGTGTAGTGTAGACATCACAGAACCCTGGCCTCTGCCTTGTGGCCTTAGAGAAGCCACATCACCCCATGCTTACACAGCTGAAGGGACAGCCTCCCCTGCTGCTCTCTGCTCCAGTTATTGCTGACATTTGTCATCACTAAAGCGTCTTTTCCTCCTGTGACATAGGGTGAGAGAAGTTTTCTCAGAGTTACATGAGCCTTTGCCTTGCAGGGTAGACGGTAGAGAGGTCCACACCACAATTCCTGAGACCGGCTTAGCACATCGGATCAAAGCCCTGTTTGAAAATGCAATGCGGAGCGACAGTGGCAGCCAGTGCCCCTTACTGTGGAGGATGTATTTGAACTTCTTGGTAAGAAAACATTTAGAGTTTTTGTTTGCATGCAGAGCTCTAGTTCTTCCTTAAAGGTGTCCAGTAGCCACTGCATGGAGCACTGGGAGGGCCTTACTTCTCCCATACTATCTTGGCGTTGGTTAATCCTTACGGAGATTCTGATGAATAATATGAAATCTCTCAGGACTTAGGAAGGAGTTGCAAGTCGCATATTCGTCAGGATATTTGGTAGAATGAAGTTGAGTAATTAGTGGGCTGTTTGGTACAGTAGAAATTAACTTTAGTTAATGTGGGTTTCTCTGAGTTAACTTTATTAAATCAACAACTTGGAAAATGGTCTGAGCTTTCCTTTGAAAGAGACCTATGTTCTTTGCCTCTTGCTCATAAGAATTTCCTGATTCTGTTTTGCTATTAAAAGATAAGATTCAATCTGGAATGTGGTTTTTAGAGTCTCACTTTGTTGCCCAAACTAGAGAGAGTGCCGTGGCGTCAGCCTAGCTCACAGCAACCTCAAACTCCTGGGCTGAAGCAATCCTGCTGCCTCAGCCTCCCAAGTAGCTGGGACTACAGGCATGAGCCACCATGCCCGGCTAATTTTTTCTATATATATTAGTTGGCCAATTAATTTCTTTCTATTTATAGTAGAGACGGGGTCTCGCTCTTGCTCAGGCTGGTTTCGAACTCCTGACCTGGAGCAATCCGCCCGCCTCAGCCTCCCAGAGTGCTAGGATTACAGGCGTGAGCCACCGCGCCCGACCTGGAATGTGGTTTTTATGATCAACATTTTCAAAGCAGCTTTGTGGTCATTTAAAACTATCACAGTGATGGAAGGTGGGGAGACACTGTAATTTTGGGAATGTGAATGTGCAGACCGAAGGTGGTTTTTGTCTGCGGCCATAGCACCCTGAACACACCTATACACCTGTCTCGTCTGGAAGGTGGTTCTTTGGCTTCCTGATCTGTGAATTGCCCAAGCTTGGGTTAAAGGCCTGGTAGTGGGATAGGCCTCATTTACAATAAACATCGATTGCCAGGTTGCATTTTTGGTTGTTGTTGTTGTTTTAAGAAACATTGTCTTCCAAGTCCCTTGCTTGTTTTAGTTCAAGGCTACTCAGTCATATCCAAGTGACCCCCAATGAATATTGTGCCTTTCAGAAGCCAGGAGTGACTTTCCTTATTCATTAATCTTATGTATCTCTCTGATTATTTCCATAGGATAAATTTTTAAAACTTGATCAAAGTATTTGAATATTTTCATATGACATGACAAAGCTGGGCTGTGAAGACATAGAGAGTGAGTGAGGGGTTAGGAGAGGGTTGGGCCACCCCTAACTCCTGTCTTTGATTCTGGAATTTATCAGGGCGTGATTCCCTAACCTCTGAGAGGGGCCGTGTGCTGAAGGCCTGAGGGGCTGGGCAGGACACGTATCTCAGGACAGCCGCTCATTGGCACATCCGACAAAAAATAGACATGTTCTTGAGAGCAGAAGTTGGCATTTTAAGGAATTACCACAAAAGTTTGTGCATTTCCCCAACATTTATTCTTCAGACCTAGAAGTTCAGATTTTCTGGTTTGACTTCCTTGTTTGAAATGGAAACCTTCAGAAGGGCACATGCTGCTTTGGTGTTGATGGTACATCCACGGCCTGGAGGCAGCATTACTCAGAGAGGGCTGCTTGGTGCAGCAGAGTTGGGAGAACTGGGTTTAGTCAAATCTCCACTCCTGTCATTTGCTTAGCTAAGGAGCTAATTAGATGCCCCCTGATATTTCCAGCACAAACATTCTGCTATTCTTTCTCAGCAAATAAAAGACCTTTACATTTAAAAAGGGAGAGCTTCTGGAAGGATGAGGCAGGCGGATCACTCAAGGTCAGGAGTTCGAGACCAGCCTGAGCAAGATTGAGACCGTCTCTACTAAAAATAGAAAGAAATTAATTGGCCAACTAAAAATATATAGAAAAAATTAGCTGGGCACTGTGGCGAATACCTATAGCACCAGCTACTCGGGAGGCTGAGGCAGGAGGATTGCTTGAGCCCAGGAATTTGAGGTTGCTGTGAGGTAGGCAGATGCCACGGCACTCTAGCCTGGGCGACAGAGTGAGACTGTGTCTCTATCTATCTATCTATCTATCTATCTATCTATCTATCTATCTATCTATCTAATCTGTCTATCTATTTATCTTGCAAATTTGCCAGTTTAACTTGCCCAGTCTTTTATAGGTAGAGACAGGGTAAGATGCAAACATACAGTATTTTTACTGACAGTCTGCCATGGGCCAAGTAATGTTGATAGTTTGGGGGAAAAAAGATCTGGGCCCTTAGGGAATTCTCTGTTTTTGGAAAGGTGGTATTGGAAGTAAGAATTAATTAGGGACATGCACAGTGACTTCCCCTAGCAGTTCCCGAAGTATCTGGGTGGGCTCCTAGCACTTGGGTAAACACAGTAAAAAATCAAATTAGGACCAAAATGCAGGATGTAGGCAGCAGGTGCCAAGAGAGGGCAGGAGAAGGGAGCCGTGGGGCTGTCGTGCGGATGAGGCTCCACAGAGAAGCCGTTTGCTTGGTTGTGTATTTGTGCCCTCCCGCGTATGTTTGGACATGCACACGTGTGTACTTACATGTGTGCTAGCTTATTTGTTTTTTTTTTTTCCCTGCAAAAATGATTAAAGGAATTAAAAGTTGTTGGCCATGGAGAATATGGGGATAGGGAGAAAGTGGACAAACAGCAGTTAAAATTTTCCATTAAGGTCGGAACTTAGTAGGTTAAAAGGAGTTTTAGGAGAGACTTTCAAACGAACTTTTCTGCATACACTTCATTTTTAGCCAGATTTCTTTTGCTGTTTTGAATAAAATTGAAATTATTTCAAGATTCTAACAGTCCTTTAATTTGGTCATTTGCCTACACAATAAAGAGGGAAATATAAGCCAGTTAGCTGATTTCATGGGACTCATGAAAGAAGTTGTTTTAATAAGTAAAAAGGGAGCAGTGGCATTTCTGGATTGTTAATTATTGGATTTTCTTTTACTCTGCATAATTTCTTCTTCCATCGTTGGCAGCTGACAGAGTTAGGATGTATTGAAAGCCCGTCATTTACAAGAGCTGGTGGGAGGGAAAAGAATCCTCTTTAGTTCCTGTTTCCAGGGATAAATGAATAAACCTCTCAGAGTGTCAGTCTCCTCTTAGAAATATGCAGAGGAAGAATTATAGAGATGTATCCTTTTTTTATTTGGGGAGGGTTGGATATCAGTTTTGTCAAATTACTTTAAAAAACTGTGTAAGCTAACAGTTGCTCAGATTTATTTATAATGAGATAAGTAAGAATAGAGAATAAGATTTTGCAAAAGACTAAAGACCTTCAGCCTTCTCATTTTCTTAGTGATGTCGCCGCCTCTGTGTGGAGGTGGCACACCTCAGATAGGACGGTACACAAATGCCGAAACAAGTGATTACTAAGCACCAGCTACCTTCTCTAACGGGAGAGCTCAGCCCCTGGGTATGTGAGTGACAAAGCGGGCCGATGGGACAGCTGCCACTGCACACTGCCACCACTACTCACCCCGCCTCCCACGGAGGGGAGAGTTACTAATGGCCCAGCTCGGGTCTGATTCACGGCATCCGTTATGAGTGTCCTGTTGGCTGAGTGTGATGGTTCCTGGGGCTGCGTGTGAGGGAAGGGCAGGCGCTGTGCGAGGTCTCTGTTCCACTTCCCTCTGGACTGTGCTTGGCGGAATTAGAGCCTTACTCAGGGGCCGGATAGCAGCTCTGCTCCCTCATTAGCTGTATGTTCTTTGGTTCTGTTTAAAGACCCAGTTAGTGCCCTGAGATGCTCCTGGCCTGCCTGAGGAGACACAGCCAGTCGTAACACAGTGGGGTGACAGACACAGTACCATGGGAACTCCAGAAAAGAGGGAGTGGCCGCTGGCTATGTTTCAACCCTGACTTAGGAATTTTACAAGGAGTCTTGGTTGTCAAGATGAGGAAATTGAGACGGTGAGGAAGGAGGTGTAGGAGAGCCATGTGATGCCCATGAACTTTTCTCTCCCTTGAGGCTCTGCTCTAGTCAGAGGGCAAAGGTATGCACAAGGCCAGGTCTGGACATGAAACCATGGATGGGAAACCCACACGCAGTCACCACTAAGGCTGCACCTGCTGGCAAGCCCCAGACCTGAGCCAGAGAAGGCATCTCCGGTGGCTGCTTAAAAAAGAAACGCAGAGAACCGTCGTGATTTGAGGCCAGCCAATTGTGCACCTGGATGTGTCGAGTTCTGGGACTAATTGTATGTAGTTGAGAAAGTGCAATAATACAATTTTTCTCTCTTCCTTCAAAAAGAGGAAAAAAGCCTTAAGTTTTGGCCAGGTGTAGTGGCTCACGCCTGTAATCCTAGCTCTCGGAGGCCGAGGTGGGTGGATCGCTCATGGTCAGGAGTTCGAAACCAGCCTGAGCAAGAGTGAGACCCCATCTCTACTAAAAATAGAAAGAAATTAATTGGCCAACTAAAAATATATATAGAAAAAAATTAGCCGAGCATGGTGGCACATGCCTGTAGTCCCAGCTACTTGGGAGGCTGAGGCAGGAGGATTGCTTGAGCCAGGAGTTTGAGGTTGCTGTGAGCTAGGCTGATGCCACAGTGTCAGAGTGAGACTCTGTGAAAGAGTGAGACTCTGTCTCAAAAAAAAAAAAAAAAAATTCAGAAAATGGCAAGTATTAAAGCAAATCTTTTCGAAGAACTTTTCTCTATTTGTGTGGGGTTATCAGCCTCATCTCACTGACACGGTGTCCCGTTACAAAGCACTGTTCCTAACCCCAGGGTGTGATGGCTCCGAAAGTCAGGAGTGTTAGAGGTTGACACTCTGGGCCCGTTTGTGGAGAGGAAATGACCCCAGAGGTTCTCTGTACCCGCCAGGCAGCATGGCGTGCCGGGCCCTGGCCTCAGGCTGACTCGCTACAGCTGAGGAGACGCGCAGCCCATGCAGGGTGTGTTTCCAGCCTTGGCCTGTTCAGTCAGTCACTTTTGTATTTTTCTTCCCCTCATCTCAGGTTTCCTTAGGAAATAAAGAAAGAAGCAAAGGTGTGTTCTACAAAGCACTTCAAAATTGTCCTTGGGCAAAGGTAAGTTTAAAGACCGTGGTATCCTCAGATTCCCAAGGACCTTCCTGCCAGGCCTCAGTCCAGCCAGTGTCTACCCGGCCCACCCCTGTGTCATCGGGCATGTTCGGCTCTGTGGATACCAATACCCTGTCCCAAGGCACGTCTTGTGAACTCGTCCCCTGCGGCGTCAGAGCCTCATGGACGTTGGTTTCCTTTCCCTGCCCTGGAGCCCGTGCTTCATGGCAGCGTTGCTGCAGGTAGCTGGTTTCCCAGCATTCGCCCAGAGTTCAACCCAGATGCTGAAAGAGTTGGGACCCACGTCCCGACTCTGCACAGCCCAGGTCAGGAGACACTCAGGAATCAAATGGATGGGGACTGCAGTGTCTGTCGACAACTTCTGCCCCAGCTCTGAAAGAAGGCCCGTCCGGAGCTTACTCGCTCTCTGCTTTTATGAGTTCAGTGTCCTTCCTCCTCGTGCCCAGGTGCTGCCCGAGCTGGGCAGGCCCGAGTGACAGGGCGAGTGGGCTGTGGAGGTGCCAGGAGGGCAGGTTCGCCAGGGACCGGCCCTTCTTTCCTGAGCTCTTCCGCGCCAGCAGGCGGCGGCTGGCTGACGAGGTGGGTCTCCCCGCGCAGGTGCTGTACATGGACGCTGTGGAGTACTTCCCCGAGGAGATGCAGGAGATCCTGGATCTGATGACGGAGAAGGAGCTCCGGGTGCGCCTGCCGCTGGAGGAGCTGGAGCTCCTGCTTGAGGATTAGAGACCAGGAGGGACGGCCGTGTCGCCCGCCTGTCGGAGCCGGGAGAAGTAAGAGGAGCATGTGTGTGTCAGGAGACCTCTGCTTTTAAAGTTGCTCTCGGCACTTTGTGCCTGGGTTGCCAGTCTCACATCTTGCACATCTTTGGGTGTGTAAATGACACAGACTGTTTTACATATCATATATGTGAACATGTGTATATATGTGTACATAGACAAAGAATCATTTCAAGTGATAATTAAACTGGTGACAGTTGAAGTGTGACTTCATTCTTGTTCTTCTTGCTCTCCTGTGTGCAGCCAGCACCAGCCCCGCCACAGTGAAAGTGTCCCTGGGCTGGCATCCTTGGTGGTCCTGCCAGGTCCTCTGTGAGGTAGTTTGGCCCTAAAGGTGAGGTTACTCAGCACGGGGACTTCTTTCCCAGGCTGGGGAGGAGGAGGAGAGCAGATTTTGCTCTTAGCCTCAGACCAGCACAGGGGAGAGACACTGAACATTCTGTGGCCTGGATCAGGTGTGTGGAGAGCAGCTCTGGATTCCCTAAGTCCTGCTCGGTGGTGGCTGCAGCAGCCGCCCTGGGAGCTTGGGAGACACCCAGCCACTGGGGCTGAGTCAGTCCGTTCCCCGCGGGACCTTGCTAGCGAGCGCCACCTTGGGGCTGAGGCCTTTTGGGCCAGGCCTTGCCCTGCGAAACCCTGCCCTGCCCGCAGGAGGTGCTGAAGGTGCTCTTTTGACTCTTGTATGTCGACACTGCTTGAGAGATGAAGGTCAAGACCAGGCATGTTCTGGCTTTGATTTCTGAGGGCTGTGAATAGAATAAAATTTAACTATCCACATTCAGGCTGTTTTCTGCTTCTGAGGAGATTTTTTAGTGCTCGAGTCATTGTCACTATTAACGTATGGCTGGGAGGCTTTCTTATCTCCCCCAGCTCCTACTCTAAGGTAGATAGCTCACGGATAGCATCTCTCTGGCTTTTTTTTAAATCATCATTTTTAGAATTGCTGAAGACTTGCATTTCCTTGGTACCTCGTTTAGAAAAGCCAGTGTATAATTTTGGCAACCGAGGGACACATCTGGGAGAAAGAAGGCAGTAGCTGGAGCACTTGTGAGGGCAGTGTAGTGGGGCGGCCTGTGATCAGCTGGTCCCCCAACACCTGGGCAGCAGCCTGTCCCTTGGGAACCTGGAGGGCTGGTGCGGATGGGCAGTGACCCTGGATGGTAACGCGGCTTCTCAGGCTGACTGGCAGCACGTTGCTTGCTGTATGGGAAGAGGTTTTTTAAAAAACCCAAAGATTCCTGAGGGTAGATGTTTTATAGAAAAAAGGATGGTGAGATAATCATTGTTAGTATTTTTATAAAAAGCCTGTTTGAGATTGTTAAACAGGGAAGTCTGAGAGACAGTTAGGCTCCTCTCAAGACTAATAGTCGTCCTGGTGGGCTGGGGAGGGCGTGTTGAGTTCTTTGAAGTCAATCAGACAGTTGCTTGCGCTTTTCTCAGGAATATTGAGTATTTCCAGGATTGCTTGTCCCTGCCTGTAGGGGTTGGCACCCTCTTAGGTCTGGGACAGTGCTCTCTCTTGGAATAAATAACATGGCATAGTCGTGACAGCTCTGGCCTGAGGGTTGCTGGGCCTGCAGGTGGTCGGGAGGCACCTTCAGTGCCGGGTCTGGGGTAAGAGGAGACAGCTGGGAGCTACTACTTCTAAGGCACAATGTTCATTATCTTGCACTTAATAAGTGAAGACATGGTGGTGGCAATCACCGCACTTTGGGAGGTTGAGGCAGGAGCAGGATTGCTCGAGGCCAGGAGTTTGAGATCAGCCATGGGCAACATAGTGAGACTCCATCTCTACAAAAATTTTAAAAATTAGCTGGGTGTGGTGGTACACACCTGTAGTCCCAGCCACTCAGGAGCCTGAAGCTGGAGGATCGCTTGAGCCTAGGAGTTTGAGGTTGCAGTGATCTGTGATGATGCCAGTGTACTTTAGCCCAGGCAACAGAGACGCTGTCTCAAAAAAATAAATAAAATGAAAAAATAAAAAGAGAAGACATGACGATCCCTAGAAGAGCTATAACGCATGCTTCAGAGGGAGTGGTGGGAGAGAGTTCACCCTTAGAAAGTTCCACTGAGGACGGGCTTCAAACAGCCAGTGGTTTTCTGCAGGCAGACAGGGCTGGCCCTGCCTTGCCCACCAGGAGCAAGAAGCCAGGGAAGAAATTGCTCACTGAGAACCCTGGTCCCAGTGCTTGGCCCTAGCCTCAGTGACCATCTGTAGAAATAGCGATTGCAGCCTTATTTTGGTCTACACGCAAAGCAGGGCAGTGGCTGGGCTGGAGGTGTAGTTCAGCCGCTACCCTGCTGGGTCCCACCTCCCTTCCCTGACTCTAGGCACTGATCACAGCAGTGACACCTCTGGGTGGTGGCACATACTTTCAAGGTACCCCATTACTGATGATGATCATTTTGATCACTTGGAAAAGATGGTGTCTGTTGGGCTTCTCCAACGTGACGTTGCTCATTCCTTTCCTAATTGAAAAGCATTTCGTGGGGAGGTACTTTGAAGCTCTGTAAATGGCCTATTCCTCATCAAGCTTACTTTTTTTTGTTTTTAAGAGATGAAGTCTTGCTCTGTCGCCCAGACTAGAGTGCAGTAGCATAATCATAGGTCACTGCAGCCTTGAACTCATGACCTCAAGCAATCTTCCTGCCTCAGCTTCCCAAAAGCTGGGATTATAGGCATGAGCCACTAGGCCTAGTCCTCATCAAACTTTCAATCAATTCATATGTATTAGTATGAGCTCATAGTTTCCTATTTTAAAGGACAATACTGTATTCCATTAATATATATATATATTTTTTTGAGACAGTCTCACTCTGCTGCCTGGGCTAGAGTGCCATGGAGTCAGCCTAACTCACAGCAACCTCAAACTCCTGGGCTCAAGCAATCCTCCTGCCTCAGCCTCCCAAGTAGCTGGGGCTACAGGCATGTACCACCGTGCCCGGCTAATTTTTTCTATATATTTTTAGTTGGCCAGTTGATTTCTATTTTTAGTAGAGATGGGGTCTCGCTCTTGCTCTTGCTCAGGCTGGTCTTGAACTCCTGAGCTCAAACAATGGGCCCACCTCGGCCTCCCAGAGTGCAAGGATTGCAGGCGTGAGCCACCGTACCTGGCCAATATTGTTAATTATTTTGATGCTTAAATTGAGATTTGGCCAGTGGAAGCCCTTCAAGCAGGCTTCTGTGTCCTTTTGACACATTCCCCCATCGTTCTCTGAGCCCTCTCTCCCTTGCTTTCTGGGAAAACATACTTTGTTGTAGCTCTGGAATCGGCTCTGGCTCCTTTTAGTGAAGAATGATATTTTGAAGCAAAGAGCTGGGTCTGGGTGTACTCATTGCAATAGGGAGGGGTGTGGCTGTTCCCAGGAGCTCTTGGTGGACAGGGTTCATTCTTGTTTTCTTCCCCTCCGTATCTGAGAGGAGCCTGGCATCCCCCGTCCTTACTGTTTACTTGACTGCTGCCATCCAGTCCCTATACAGATGCCTTTCTCTCCTGCTCGGGCTCCCACACTCCACACGGGCTGCCCCGCCCTGCACATACATCCTTCTTCATCTGTCTTGGGCTCTGACACCCACCGGATGCCATCCTCACCCTGCCCGTGCTGTGCCCCACATGGACACCTCCCCACAGGTACATCGTCCTCATCCTGCACTGAGCGGCCAACATGTGTGGATGTCCTCTGTGGTAGGCACAGTGGGCCCCTAAGATGTCTACACCCCAAGCTCTGGAGCTGTGATATGTTACATGGGAAAAGGAACTTCGCAGATGGAAATTAAGGTTGCAGACCTTAAAGTGGGAAGACTATCCTGGATTATCTTGGTGGCCCTAATGTAGTAATGAAGGTCATTAAAAGTGTAAAAGAGGCAGAAAAAAGGGTCAGAGAGATGTGAAGACAGAAGAAAAGGCAGGAGACTCAGAGCCTGAGAGGGCCTTGACCTGCAGCTGCTGGCGGAGGGCAGTCAGCTGACAGCAAGGAAACGTCGCCCTGAGTCCTGTCATTGTGAGAAACTGAATCCTGCCAACCACCCGGAGAAAGGAATTGGCATCTCCCCTAGAACTTCCACAAAGAACAGTCTTGCTGACATCATGATTTCAGCCTGGCGAGACCAGTCTTAGACTTCTGACCCGTAGAACTGTGAGTTAAAATTGTGTTAAGGTAAGTCTGTGGTAACTTGTTCTGGTGGTAATAGAAAACCTAATACGCCTTCCTCACCCAGTGTGGGCTCCCACAGCCCAGGCCACTCAGCCAAGTGGATGCTTACCTTGGTCTGCTGCACCTGATGGCTTTGGGGACCCATCAGTTCAGAAAGAACAGAAATGAAATAGATGAAGAGAAGGCAGTTCTGACGTGTTTTTGAACGCTCTTGAAAGGGACAAGATTTCCAAACGAGTGGGCAGGGCTGGTAGAGATCCTTCAGCCTTGACTTTTCAGAATTTCTTTTAGGAATCCTTAGTCTCAACACCAGGACTTATTTCCTATTCCCCGAGTGCTGAGAACCCACAGGGTCCACACAACTTACAAAAAGGGA